CCCCGAGGCGCTTGGCGACCGTCGCGATGGGATCGGACGGCGCAGGATTGCTGGTGGCCGGGTAGTATATTTGATTTGATTTGATTTGTCGTCTCCACGATGCATGGGCCGGCCGAACCGCACGCACCGTTTCTTATCGAACTCGTTCCTTCCACGGTATGGCGTGCTCCTGCCACAGCGACGCCTTCCCGAATCAAATCAATTCAAACGATATAATAGCAGATTGTAATCTCTCTCTCTCTCTCTCTCTCTCTCTCTCTCTCTCTCTCTCTCTCTCAATCCATAGAGGTAGAGGAACGATCTAGTACTATTACATTTGCGGTTTCTTATGTTAGCTGGTGATGTTGTGATGTACTTGATCCCAGCTCTCGTTAATTAGTTAGTTGATTATTAGTGGAGATATGAGCTCAGCATATACTAGGCATTATGCCGCGTTCACGTACGTCTTGGGAGAACTATGCCGTGTTCACGCTGAGGTCTGTGTGCTATGTTCGTGGCCGTATCATTTGCGCGTGTAACGTTCGTACGCAGTCTCTTTTCTTCATTTGCTCTCGCCGTCAATCATTGCGAGGCAGAACCAGCCGTAGCCTCCTTGGTTATCTCGTCGAGCCATCTGGAGACAGGAAGCACCGCGACGTAACGCAACATGGTGTTTGAAATGATTTTTGTGATGCCCGCGAAATGGAGCGCATCTCGAAAAACTATCGTTTGCATCTCCCGAGTGGATCAGCCGTTCCCGTTATGGACCAGGGACCAACCGTTTTTCGCCCAGGCTCGTCGTCGTTGCCTCCCATCTCGGAGCTTGATACGGCAGGATCACGCCACTCGTTGATTTGTGTGGCTGGGCACGCCGCGCATTGTGCCGCGTATATCTTGGGAGACTATGCCGTGTTATTGCACCAACGGGCAGCCCGCAAATTTTCTCATGCATTCATGCGTGGACAGGGAATCAGTCCGCAGACACAAAAGCCGTCATCCAACGCTGGCCGCATACATTTTCATTTTTTTTAACAAACTGGATGAAGTTCATGCAAACTTGACCGGATTTCATATAAATAGGATGAAAATGGTTATATTTTGGACATATTTAAACTAAAAGGGTAAAATTATGTGCATGTACAGTCGTGCGGAGCTCCACTGGCACGGCACATATACACTACACTAGTCTACGTCCGTCCGCGGCAGATCCCTTTCTCTTCCCCATGTCCGGCAGCCCGCTAACCAGACTGCCGAAGTCCCGGAGGCATCTTCTTCCACCGTATCTTTCCTATGTCCAGCTACATCGTTCATCAGAGTGGCGAAAGAGGGTGCTTCAACCGAAGGGGAAGGTGCTTCCGTGGAGCCCACACGGCGCGCCCATGATGGTCTGAGATAAAGACCAGACAGGTGACCCGTACAAGCCGACGATACATCGACGGTGGCCTTCATGGGATAAAAGCGGCGGCGGCCTACCGTGTTCCACTTCTTCTCATTGATGACGGCGGGCACAGGCATGCTGGTCGACATCCCCGCAACCGGCTTCTTTCTTTGCGTGCATGGCACGGGTACGCGCGCGTTGACGGCGGGTGGCGCGGTTGCAGGCACTGGAGGTGACGATGCCCGTGCCGGCGTGCTCCCCATCGTGCCGGGATGGAGCAACTCGTCACTCCTCCATGAGCCGGCTTCGGGCGGCAACTTGCTCCGTCGGGCTAGGCGAGAGAGGTAGAGCAGCGAGCTGCCTCGCTCGTATCCGCTGGGCTCGGCAGGCCACCCAGCTGGCTTTCATGCCGGAGAACTGTTTTTCCTGCCCATTTCTGAAAGGACGTGTGGTCGGAGTAGGTTTCTCAGTTTCCACGCGGGTTTAATGGAGGCGTTTGAATGCGGCGAGGAGGCATGTTCAGCCAGGCGTGCAGCGGGTGGCGCCCTCGGCTCACACGTCGCTTCAATGGCAGAGGCAGTGAGAGGTCGCGTCCGCCCTGAGCTGCCTTAAATGTGGAGCGAGGCGCTCTACACTGGCATGAATGCGGGCAGCTAGCGCCGGGTGGGAACGCGCACGGGCAAGGGAGGAGTGATTTTGATGGGCCAGGGCGGTCAGAAGCGGGCGTGACAGCGGTCCGGACTCCCGCAAAGCCCCCCCATGTTTATTTGCGGTTTGCGGGAGAAAACGCATCCGGGCCGCGCCGCGGGCCGATAAAGGACCGCATTGGATGACTTCCGTGGTCCGAACGGTTGCGGGAGGTTTGCGGGTCGGCGTTGGAGATGCGCCCGCAAAGTCCATGAACATGGGGCTAGTCCGCGGACATGAATGTAGGAGCCAGTCATTCAACGATGTCTGCATACATTTAAAACACCATTTCAACAAATGGATGAAATTCGTGCAAATATGACAGATTTTCATATAAACCGGACGAGATTCAGCAAACACACCAGATTTTCATTACATTTTGAACATTTAGAACCAAAAAAATCCCAACCCTAAACCTATCCTACGGCGGCGACCGGTTGTCATCCACTTCCTTTCTATTCCACGTCGGCGACCACCTCCTCCATCTCCCGTCTCCATGAACTGCGGCGGTAAGACCCGTGAGTGAAGCTGTGGTCTCTAGCAAGAAAGAGTAGAACACAGGAGACAGACTAGCCCACATGAGACACAAGGACCTCCCCCTCTTGCCCTATTCTTCCTCGGAGGAGTCCGCGACCTGTCCATCATCGGTGGACGTGAGGTCCAAGGTCAAAATGGTGGCGATGGCATTGTCGTCGTCCAACCGGGCCGCCCGATAGTTTGTGAAGGAAATATGC